ATTTTGAAAACGAGCAACATAAGAAAATATTTCACAGCTGGTCCCCCCTCCAGCAAGTTCCCTGCCTCTCTGAGAGCGAAAGGCTGCCTTTCGCTGTGCGCAAGCGGAGGCTTCTGTCTAGCTGGGGGAGAGGAACATGCTGGAAAGCCAGCCGAGCCCCGGATAAAATGCTCTTTAAGCCCTGAGGGCCTGGGGCTGCCCGCTGGACCTGTAGCCAGGGGGTGAAACTCAAAGGCAGGCTTGGGAAGACCTGCCTGGGGGATGACCCTGCCTGGGGGTATCCTTTTGTTTACTGCTCCCCAAGACTCTTCGAGGGTGTGTTTGATGTGCAGCAAACACAGACACCAGCTGCAGGGGATCACCTGATGTGACCGCACTGGACCAAGGCGCAGACCACTCAGCACCCAGAGCCTCCCGGTGCCCACACACAGGACACCACGCCCGCCCCATCGCACGCCAAGGGACTCCCTGGACCTGGGCAGAGGCTCCTGTTCCTGGACGCCAGGTCAGCGTATTCTGCACGAGGGCCGGGTCTGGCTTCTTGTCTCCACGGAACGGTGCTGACACTGGTCCGTGCTGCTGTGGCTTTGGGCCGCTCAGGAGCGCACCGACGGGTCTCCTGTCTCTTTACTCTCCAGGCTGCTGTTGGGTTTGCTCAGCTGAGGTGTCCTGACGACAGGCGCCCCCCGCCGCAGCTGGCCCCTGGATGCTCTGCTCTTCGCCCTTCATCATGCCTCAGGGAGCTGGCCCCTGTGGAAGCCACAGTTCAAAAGCAAACGGATGGTTTATTCGGCCCGGGCAGCTGTGTGTAATCTGATGTTCATAATTATTCTCCGGTGGGAGGCGTGTGGGGCACAGGCGCGAGCTGTATGTGGGGCGCGTGCTGAGTGTGGGGCGCGTGCCGAGCCGGGGAAGAGGAGCCGGGAGCTAAGACTGCGCTTCTGCTCCTCGTGACAGCCCCTTCTCTTTTTAAAATTAAATGTCGACACTTTCCAACGTTCAGATGAATATGCGCTGCCTGTAGAGCAATGTGGACGGACGCCCCCGGCTCAGGCCTGGAGGAGGCCCCCCTTCCTCCCGGCCTGGGGAAACAGTCCTCGGCCTCCCCTTACCACTTACACGCTGGTCCGCAAAATCCCGCGGCTGCGGCTAGTATGCGCTCGCCTTGCTCCCCAGCCCCGGGGCAAACTGAGGAGGACACAGCAGCAACACCCCCTCCCCGCCCTGGGGAAGGAAGTGTCGTCCTGCCGCGGGCCACTTCTGCGCTGGCGTTGGCATGTGCCTGCTTCCATCCCAGCAACGTCGATGAAGTCCCAGGACCCCAGGACCCCTCCTGTCAGGCGAGGCCGGGTCGGTGCTGCTTCCTCACAGGCCCCTGGCGGGAGCTGAGGGTTCTGCTGGGGAAGGGCTGTCAGGGCCGATGCCTTCTAGAGAGATGCTCTAGAGAGAATCACGTTTTTCAAAGTAGGATGGACCTGCCTCGGCAGTGTTCAAGCCAGTAGGCACCAAAGGAAGGTGCCAGATCGTGAGCCTCCCTTGGGAGCCCCAGTCGCTGCTGTGCAGGGTAAATAGGTAAAAAAAATCCGGCTCCCTACGCCTCCTGCCATGAGCCTCCACGACCGGCACCTGCGGCCTTGCACGGCTCCCGCGATTGTGGACACCTGGGCCCAGAGAGCCCGGGTGCTTGTGGGGAGAAGGGGAGACCCTGCGGAGGGGCCAGGGGATACAGGGCAGGTCCCCCTGGATCTCTGGATGCTGGTGGGGGTAGGGCAGGGCGGGGTGGGGGAAAGGAAGGAGCCAGCCAGGGAGGTGCGGGGGTTGGGGGGAAGCCGGTCACCCCTGATTCAGCAGCAGAGGCTGCAGAGATCTACCAGAAGGCTCCCCGGTTACCTCTCCTGTGAGAACCGACACTGAACCCGCCGGCCTGGGGTGGCTGAAAACAGATGAAATAAAAAAGAGCCGAACCCGGGCTGGCTCCCGGCGCTCCTGCCCCAGGGCAGCTTCTCCATTTTTCTCCCCCAAATTTTCTTTTCCTTTTCCTGTTTCTGTGGGCCAGAGGCGCTCCCAGGGCCCGCAGCCCACTGGGGTCGCACGTCTTTCTGCATCTTCTCCCCATTGGTTAGTGACGCCCCCGTTCGGGTCACGTGTGTTAACGCCGCTGAGCCCTCCCAGACACGTGTAGGGTAAATGACGTGATCGGGCTTTTTCCCGCCCTCCCACCACTAGGCCCGGACCACTGTCTGCTCTACGGACGCCGGGGCCGAGGGCCGTGGGCGCGCTGCAGGCATGCTTTTCACTGTGGACACCTGGGCCCGGAGGCGGGCTCAAGGTGGTGGGGGCAGCCTGGCGAGGGGCCCACGCTGAACACCGGCTCGAGGCCAGAGAGCGCGCATGGGGCTCATGTGCCTTCCAGGCCCCTGCCCGCCGCGCCCGCCTCCCAGCATGCCAGCCGCCCTGCCTGGGCACCTGGGGCCCTGCCCCGACATTAAAGGCCTGTGAAACCTGCCAAGGGCTCCAGGAATGCTTTCCGCCTGCCCCAAGCGACAGGAGCCTGCCCCGGGCTCGCACACAACCCCGCTGCCCCTAAGCGGCCTCCAGTTATTGTCCAGCGAGGCTTCCAGCTCCGAAAGCCCTTATCTGCCTCTTCCCGCTGTCACCGCCTGTCCTCCTGTCCTCGGCCCCTGCCGGCTGGCGGGTTCAGGCCTTTCCAAATCGGCCTCTGGCTGTGGGTTTTGCCTCAGTGTGTCCTCTGCGTGGGGCCGATGTGTCCCGTGCTGTCGGACCCCTTCAGTGGCTCAGGGCGAGGGTCCCGGCCTCCTCCCTTTCTCCCAAACACATGGTCTGTGCCAGCCAGTCTGCTGGGCCCGGCGAGTCCCGGTCACGTCCCCTGGGTGCCTGCCTGGCCTCAGCATCTGCTCCGACTCCCTGGCCTCTGCTGTCTCTTTCAGCCTCATGGCAGGAGGCTGCCTCAGCCTGTCTCCCCCAAGCCCTCTCCTAAGGCACCCTCACCTCTCCCTTCTGCCCCCCGCGCTCCTGTAGGGTAAGGCAAGAAGTATCAGGCTTTTCTGTCCTCCCGCCATTAGGGTTGATGATGGATCCCTGCGGTCCTGAATGATTCCTGACGGCGGGCAGCTGGAGCAGGGGGTGGGTGTGCATAAGTGGATTCACCTGGGCTAAGGCTGCGCTTATAAGGCGGCGTCACGGGGACGCCAGCGGAAGAGCAGAGAAGCAGAGAGAACGCGAGCGGAAGAGAAGCAGAGACCACCAGAGGAGGCCGGAGAGCCCAAAGTAAGACTTGCTGGGGGCTGGGAGCCTGCCAGCCTCCCGGCGCCCCAGCACCCCTGCCTGCCATGTACCTGGTAAATCCCAAGAAAAGCCTGAAAAGCCAGCGAGGGCCCCAGGCCTCTCCTTACCCCGTCTGCTCGGGTCAGAGAGAACCTGCCCTGTCCCTTCCTGCCCTTACAGCTCCTGAGGCCTGTGTCCCCGGCAAGTTCTAGGTTACAAACTCCCGGAGGCAGAGTGCTGTGGCCTGTGCACCCCGGGAGCATGGTCCAGCCCCCGCGGGCCCACAGGAGAGTTTGCTGAAGGCAGCGGGAGGAGGGACGGGAGCCCCTGAGCGCCCAGGGAGTGGAAACCCACCTCACCCCGCTCTCCACCCAGACTCTGACTTTCCGTCCAGCGGGAGCCCCTCTCTGGTAGGGGGAACCCCCCCCCTTAATCCCAGACCAGTGGGATAATGGTCCACACCCTGAGTCTGAGGTTCCTCCCACCCACTGTCACAGAGGCCCCCGAAATCTGCTTACCGCCCCCTGGGGAAGCAGCATCCTCACCGCCCCCTCCCTGTCCTCAGAGCTTTTGGCCCAGGTCAGTGCAGGGGACGCTCACCTGGAGCCTCTCCCTCCGCTCCTAGTGAGGCCTGCCGGCCCTGAGTCCCTGCGGAGCCTGCTCCGCCATCGCTGGACCTTTCCCCTGAGTTGCCTGAACAGGAGCCGCCCCCCCCCAGCTCAGAGGGTCCCCAGCATTGCCTCAAACTAGAAGCCTCACAAGGGCAGGGGGTGCTTCATAGGGGCGTCCCCCCCAGGCGGGGTCCGGGTGGACTCTCAGCCAGTGAAAGTGATGTCATTTTGGAGTTGTTGGGTTCGGGGTGCAGGGTCTAAGGACTAAGGTTTCCCCAGAGCTCCCCTTTCACCGGCACCCCGAGTTCCCAGGCGAGTTTCTCCAGGACACCAGGGCCTTCGTGGACCCAAAAGGGCAGGTTTGTTACAAGAGGGAGAGAAGAGCGAGGGACACTTGCAGGGACACACAGGGGCGGAGTGGGACCCCTGTGGGGACAGGCGAGCGGAGGGGCCCGCACAGTCGCGGGCGGGCGGCCTTGAGGGGAGCTGCCTCTGGCGAGGGGCTCAGGGCAGAGGAGCCCGGGGGTCCAGCGCTCGAGAGAGCTGGGGGTGAGCAGCCCCTGCAGGGGCACAGCTGGGCAGGGCTGCTGGCCGGGCAGGGGCAGGGGTGGCCCTGTCAGGTCTCCGCGTCCAGGGAGCGGCCTGTGTCTCGTTGCCTTGGCGACACCGTGTAGCTGTGGAAGGGGCCGGGTTTCCAGGCGGCCCCCCCAGGCTCCTCACCCAGGGCGGCGCTCCTGACCCTCCCCGTGGCCTCGGCCGCCCGCCGGTCTGTGCCGGGGCGGGCGTTGGCGCCCCAGGATCTCGGTTCCCGCAGCGGGTCGGGCCGCGCTCCCCCCTCCCCCCCCAGCGCGGGCGGGGCGAGCCGGTGTCGGGGCGCGCTGCCCCCTCCCGTGTCCCGTCCTCAGCTCCCCGCGCAGGACCCGCCTGGGCGCCCGCGGGCCCCGCCCCGCCGGCCCGCGGGCGCCGAGCGCAGCAGCCAGGGCTGGGCTGGGCCGGGCTGGGCCGGGCCGGGCCGGGCCGGTGCGGCGCCTCCGCTGCCCAGAGCGCGCGGGCCGCGACCGGAGCGCGCAGGGCGCGGCCGACACTCCCGGCGGGGCCCGCGCTCCCCGCCATGTCCGCCGCGCCGCTGCGCTCGCCCCCGCGGGCCCCGGGCGCGAAGAAGGACGAGTCCCTCCTGGGCAGGCTGGGCGGCACGCTGGCGAGGAAGAAGAAGGCCCGCGAGGGTGAGTGCGCGCGCCGCGCCCCCAGGCTGGAGCCGCCCTGGCCCCGGGTCGCCGCGACCTTCGCGCAGGCCTGGACCTGCCGCCTCCCGGCGGCGCGCGGAGCCCCGGAGCCCGGGGTGCCCGGACACCCAGCCGCGCGGCGGGACTTCAAGGGCGTGTCCGGGGAGCCCCCGGCCCCCGCGGGGTCGCCAAGTGCCTAGCGCAGCCGGCCAGCGCAGGTGGGGGACCCCGCGGGCGGGGCGGGGCAGGCGGGGGCGCGGCGCCCCGGAGCTGGGCCCTGGCAGTGCCCTCCAGCTCCCGCGCCTGGAGCCCTGCGCACCGAGCGGTGAAAGTTTCTGAAGTTCCTTCAAGTCCCTTCGCGCCAGCGCCGGGTTTCTGGTGGCTCGTGCGTGTTGTCGTCGTGTCACGGTCCCGGGAGGAGGCGGCTGGGCTGCGTTCCAGACTTTTCCCGCGTTAGGGCCTGGGGAGAGGGAGCTGGGTCTCCCAAGGGCAGGTGGAACCCCAGAATCCCCAGGTCTGGCTTGGGGGCTCCAGCTCCTTGGAAAAGAAAGATGCTTCAGGGTTTGCAGCGACTTCCCTAAGCCACAAGCCTGACTCAGCCCCCAGAAAGCCCCCTGTACCCTCCAGGCTTCCTGTGCCCCCCAACGTGTGGGCCTGAGGACGAGGTCGCTTGCCCGGCCCTATTAATTTCTCCCCAGATGTGCTGTTCCCAGGAGTGCGTGGGGCCCGGCTGCTGCAGGGGGTCTGTCCTCTCGGCACCCTGACGGGAGGGGTGCTTCTCCCAAGTGCACCGGCTCCTCGGGCCGGTCACCTTCCCGAGTCTCCCAGCAGAGGGGCCTTCCACGGAAGCAGCCACACGGCCTTGTGCTCAAGGCAGTTCAGGCCCACCTGCTAGGTGCGATGACAAGGGACAGTCTCCCGTGCGGTCCTCCCCGAGGGTCACTGCCTCACAGCCCCCAGACACAGAGGACCGGTCACAGCCACTCCACATGTGCCCTGAGGAGCCTGTGGGGGACCCTGGGAAGAAAAGGCAGACGGGCTATTACTTTCGGGCGAGAACCTCAGTCGTGATGCATGGACAGACCGGCACCTTGAAGCAGTGGGGTGGGAGGGGCTGAGGGGCACCAAGGCGCTGGGGTTTGGGCTGAGGCCAGAAGGATCCAGAAAGGACGATTTCCCAGAGCAGCCAGTGAGTAGGATGGTCGCCCGCACAGTCTTTCGTGGGTGACAGGCCGGGGAACACCTGGAACTCGTGCCTCAAGGAGTAAGCGCCCCAAGTTCCTGGGCCAGGAGCCCCCCGTGGTTGCTCTCGGGACAGGCGTGCACTGGGAAGCTGAGAGCCAGCCTGGCTGCATGGTGGCGCCCGAGCATCCTGTGGCCAGGACCCTGGAGGACCAGGCAGACAGCGGGGCTGGGGGCATGGCTGTTGTTGCTCTTGTGAGCTAACCGGGTGCCGGGTTCTCGAGGTTGGGGTGCCTGGTCCACTTGGGAGTTCCCCATCCAGCAAGAAGACCTCAGACACCAAGTGGGCACAGGTGCAGAAACCGGGGAGGGGTCTCTTGAGTTGGAAGTTGGGAGGCTGAGCTGGGGACTGCTAATGAGGCCCAGCATAATTGTGAGGTGCCAGTGTCCTGCCACCTGTTGCCTTGGCAACTTGCCCGCCACGCTGTTCATGTATTTGAGCTGAGCGGGGCCTGGCCCAGGCCGCAGGGCTGACACCCCTGTGGTCCGGCCCTCATTTGCCTGCCACCAAGCCTCACTGCCTCCACCAGCTGCACGGAGTTTCGCTTCCTTTGTTGGAAAGTCGAGGGTGAATTCTGGGACGTGACTGGAGGAGAGGCCCCTGGAGGTGCCGGGACAGAGGGTAGCGTTTGGGGGAGCCAGTGGGCATGTGACCGCCCAGCTTGGCAGAGCGCCCGGTTGTGACTGGTCACGGGGCGTGTGGGTGACTCCTGTCTTCCAGGGGACAAGTTTTAGGAAGTGGGCAGCCGGCGCAGTGGCTGTCTGGACCCGTGGACAGCCCCCACCCCATCAGCTGGTTTCCCTATACGTCCAGCTATGACAGTTGGTCAGTCAGGCACAGCAGGAGACTCTTCCTAGTCACCGATAAGTAGGGCGGCTGTAACAACATGCTGGCGTCCAAGCTAAGTGACCGGTCGCACAGAACATCTTGCACATAGTATTTTTGGACTGTGGTTGACTGTGGATAACGGAGACGGTACAGGTTGGGGTTAGGGGGGGCATCGGGGGCGGAAGGGGATTTGTAGAGTGTGTCTTTACATACTTGGGGAGAAGCTGGGCCTTTGTGTTGCTGTCACTCTGCTCACGCGATGGCCTTGATGCTACAGAAGAACCTTAGAAAGTCAACCACAGAGTGTATTGGGGTTTATGGGACCCCTAACCTGGGAGAGAGGAGAGGGGCTAGTAGGAAATGCCAGGATGGTAGAGGATGAGGGTCTGGGTCTCATCCACGGTAGATTCTAGATTGATCTATGGGAAGAGCGGTCAGTGGAGGCTGGGTTTGAGTGTGCTGGGCTGCATGGTTCTCCACAAATCCTGCCAGTGGAGACAATTCCATGCCCCTTTCACCCGGGGGACTCTGGGCAGGCCCCCAGCCCTGGGTTTGTGACTTTGTCCAGCTCCTGGGCTGCACATAGGCCCCAGGGAGGGGCAGTGGAAATCACTGGAAATTTCTGTTTTCCTCTCCCTGGCTGGGAGGAAGTGGCTTTCAAGGGGGGTTTGGTGTGGCCTCGCAGTTTCCTTTGGCTATTATTCTGGTCATGATCTTAGTGCATTTCCCTTGTTTGTTCCATCCCGGCGGGGTGCAGGGTGGGGTGCTTGAGAGGGCAGGTCTGTGGTCTCTGGGAAACCCCTGGGAAACAGGCCTTGGGCCGAGAAGGGACGGGCGACACCGGCCAGCCCGGCTTCCCTCTGCCGAGGCCGCGACTTCAGCCTTGCCGGCTCCCGGGGCTCTGGGAACAGTGTGCTCACGCCCCCCTCACGGCCCCCTCCCTCCCTTTCCTGGCCCCTCCGTTCCCAAAGAGCCGAGTCGCCCTGGCAACCCCACTCATTAAGGGAGGCAGATTTCAATTCTTGTCTTAGCTCCGTGGAATTAACATTTATTGCACATCCCAAGTTGCTCCCTTGTCCCGTTGTCATCGGAGTAATTAAAGGCGTTGATGAGACACTAGTGGGGGCATCCGCCAAGAGGGTTTGAGCAGGTGCTGGGCCCTCTGTCGTGGCACCTCCTGATGTTAGAGCCACACGTCCAGTTTGCAGCTCGGATGAGAGGTGGGGTGCCCTCCTGGAGCGCAGCTCTGTCCTGTGTTACATTCACTACAGAAGGAGCAGGGGACATTCCCGCTGAGAGTGGGGTGGGTGTGTCAGCTGTTAACATTTAGGAACTTGATTACTCGGGGTCTAGGACCCGCCGGCTGTTTCTTTGGTCTCTCTAGGCACTCGGGGCAGCTTTCTACTCACAAAGGCCAGCTCGAACTGAGAGCGGGTCTAGCCTTCTGGTCGATCTTGACCCACTCTAGGCACGTGTGTCCAGGCTTCTGGTCGACCCCAGCCACCTGCATGTTGACTGAGTTGGGCCTTCTGGCCAACTGCAAACCCCAGCACGCTCAGTGGATCTGGCATTCTGGTCAATCCCAGGCCCCTCCAGGCAGAGTGGGTCTAGCCTTCTGGTCAACCCAGCCACTTGCAGGCTGACGGTGTCTGGCTTTCTGGTCAACTGCAAAGCCCTGCACACTGAGTCCGGCCTGCCAGTGGACCTCAGCCCCCCACAGGCTGACTAGGTCCGGGCTGCTGATCGACCCTAGCCACCTCCAGGCAGAGTGGGTCCAGTTTACCGGTCAACCCCAGCTGCTGCATGCTGACCAGGTCAGGCCTTCTGGTTGACAGCAAAGCCCTGCATGCTGAGTGGTTCTGGAATTCTGGTCGACCCCAGCCCCCTCCAGGCTGACCAGGTCTTGCCTTCTGGTCGACCTCAGCCCCCTCCAGGCAGAGTGGGTCCGGCCATCTGGTTGAATCCAGCCTCCTGCAGGCTAATCGGGTAAGGTCTTCTGGTCGACCACAAACCCCTGCACACTGATTGGGTCTGGCCTTTTGGTTGACCCCAGCCTATCCAGGGTAGCAGGTCTGTCCTTCCTGTAGACCTCAGCATCCTCCAGGTGTTATTGGTCCAGCCTTCTGGTTGACCCTAGCCATCTGCAGGCTGACCTGGTCTGGTCTTCTGGTCGACCACAAACCCCTGCATGCTGAGTCCAGCCTTCTGGTCGACCCCAGCCCTTGCAGGCTGGCTGGGTCTGGGCTGCTGATTGACCCCAGCCCCCTCCAGGCTGACCAGGTGTGGCCTTCTGGTCGACCTCAGCCCCCTCCAGGCTGACTGAGTCCTGCAGCAGGTCGACCCCAGCCCCTTGCAGGTTGACTGGTTCTGGGCTGTTGATTAACACCAGTCCCCTCCATGCTGTCCAGGTCTGGTATTCTGGTCGACCTCAGCCCCCTCCAGGCAGAGTGGATCTAGCCTTCTGGTTGATCCCAGCCGCCTGCAGGCTGACCAAGTCAGGCCTTCTGGTGGAGGGCAAACCCCTGTACGCTCAGTGGATCTGTCTTTCTGTTCGACCCCAGCCCTGTCCAGGCTGACTGGGTCTGCCTGCCTTTCAACCCAGCCATCTCCAGGCTGACTTAGTCCGACCTGCCGGTGGACCTCAGCCCCCCACAGGCTGATTGGGTCCTGGCTGTGTTGGAACCCAGCCCCCTGCAGGGTTACTGTGACTGGTCTCCAGTTCTACCCCAACCCCTGCAGGCTGACTGGGTCTGGACTGCTCATTGAACCAGCCCCCTCCAGGCTGACTGGATCGGGCCTACTTGTGGAACCCAGCCCCTGCAGGCTTACTGGGACTGGTCTCCAGGTTGACTCCAGCCACCTGCAGGCTGACTGGGACTGTGCTGCCAGTCGACCCTAGGCCCCTGCATGCTGACTAGGTCCGGCATGC